TAATGAATGCTCAATATCAAATAGGATAATCCAGAAGAGGATTGCGGGGTGATGAAGAATGATGGAGGGCCCGCTCCATTCTTCGACTTTATGTCTGGTTTTTGAGCGAAGGCTTGATGTCTGCGCTGCACAGGCAAGAAGAACCCGTGAGAGGGCGGGGATCGGTTCCTCCGTGGTTCCTCCGACAGTCAAGTTAGTGAAACTCGAGTGGGGAAGGGGAAGGTCAAGAACCGATGTGGTTCTTAAGGTGGCAATGTGCTTTAGAGATGATGATCTCCTAGATTTTTCCTAGGAGGAGGAAGTTTTTTACCTCTCTTTCTTTTAGATGATCCTCTATTTTGGATCTGATAGGTCCTCTCTATAGCCCAGCCTCGGGAAGCGGTGTTGGAGTGCAGGCTAAGAGTCGAGTCATCCCTCACTTTACAGGTGTCGGCTGGCGACTGGAAGGGAAGTCACTTCAGCTCTGGAGAGGATGTCTCCGCATTTTCTGGAAAGCAATTGAGAGCGTGGCAGAAGGCATGCTGGCATACCGAATCATCCCTCGCCTTACAGGTGTCAGCTGGCGACTGGAGGGGAAGTCACTTCATTATGGGAGAGTGTGTCTCCGTATTTTCTGAGAAGTGATTGAGCTGACAAGTCATGGAGACCTTATTAGGCCAAAGTCTGGATGAGGCTTGTCCGAGGTGGACTGAGATGTCAACATATGCTCTGAGATAGAGGCTTGGGGCTAAGGCCGAGTTCTTAACTTAATCGGCAGCAGGGAATGTCCCTCCGGTCGTTTCTAAGAAATGGCCAGTGAGTGGTCGGGTGACTTAAGTAGGGTCGTCCTCGATGATAGGGTCGACCGACACCGCCTTTCGCATCGACTCAGGAGTGTCGGTTTGTTCGACTGGTTGGAATGTCGTCTCGTCTCAGCTAATAACCGCCTCTCGAATCAATATAAAGATGTCAGCTCATCTGGGAGGTCAGGATCTCTCGTGCCGACCAACATCGCCTTTGGTGTCGACACCAGAGTGTCGGCTTGATGAGTCGGTAGGATCGAGGCCTCGATGGTTGCGTCTTGGGTTTATCCTTGATAAAGAGCTAAGGACTTGTAATCCGACCGAGAAGTCCAATGCCTAGAACTCTTGAGAGTTGACTAGGTCTTTCCTTCCCCTAAGACTGAGAGAAAACTATGGGAGTCGGCCAAAGGGTTAAGTTTGTTTTGTTAGGACCCTTATCGTATCATTTTGTAAATATTCGTATCTTGGTGAGTGAACACCATAACAATTGGTCCCTTTCACTTGGAGTCGGCTTTCAGTCGACTCCGAGAGAAATAAGATATGCTCTGATCAACACAGGCCTGCTGAGTACGAGAAATTGAGAAGTCTCTGTCTTAGGGACGTGGCTTGTCATTATTGGCCACTATTGTTAGCTCCGCTATTCATGGTTGACGTCATCAAAGATTTAAACAATCTTTTTGGGAGACGAAGTGTCATGGATAGAAAGGAAGATCTTCCACTTTTCGAGTATTGGGACGTGGGGCATTAAATAAGGGTGGCGCTTCGTGTTTTGAGCGAACCGCTTTAGATCCTGAAGTGGATTTGGCATGGTCGCTTCGAAAATCACCGCGTCCTTTGAAATCCCTCTATACTCTTCCTTGAAAGCTTATAAATAGTCTCTTGATGCTAAGATAGTCCTTTTACAAACCTTTGCTATGAAAAATTCTTGATATTCATCTAAGCTTTCTTAAGTAAAAGTCTTCCATGACCTCTCAAGTTTCAAACTCTAACGGTAACGAGGAGAGTCTCACTATTCTTCTACTTATCTGCTCAAAAGTTCATATGAACAATCTGGTGGGGTTGTATGATCAATACAATATCCCTCGGACTCTCACATTGGCGGCGTTAGAGATGAGCGAGCCAGTGTATTGCCATGGTGAGGGTCGAGTACCGCTGTACTTGGCCCATTTGGAGCATGGTTTACAGCTGCCCTTACACCCTTTCATTAAGGAGGTGCATGTCGCTCTAGGAGTTTCCTCTTCCTAATTCTATCTAAACGCAGTGGGGGTTCTGGTGGCTTTCATCATCATTTGCCACCATGTTAGAGTCCAACCAAGCTTGAGATTGCGTGGGCATTTGATCAGTGTGGGGTCGGCTGAGAATGACTTGTATTACTCTTTCCACTATCGTGGTGAGTTCCAACTTATTTCTGATTCTTTGGAGTTGGATGAGAACTAGAGGAGCTGATTCGTGTGGGTCTATGGTGGTGATAGCGTCTTCGCTTGTTCGGGGTGGCCGGAGGTGAATGAAGACGCTTTGAGGTCAGTCATCCTTAGTGATTCCGAGATGATGGATCTAAAAAAGGTTTGGTTCTTATGCTGGGTTACGAGAGAGTGATGCTCTGTTTGATGATATGTCTCTCCAAATGACGGGCATATCCATGATCTTATCTTCCACTGGCTTCCAGGCAAGGACGAGCCATGTTCCTCTATTAGTGGAAAATCATAAGAAGAATATAGGAATCGAGGGGACGAGCTTCACTGTTAGGCCCCACAAGAAGCCTAGGGGGGCTTTCAGTGCTGAGGAGGTGGCTGTCTTGATGCCTCAAGCAACTAACATTGTCTCTGAATTGAGGGGAAGGACAAGGGTTGAGAGGCGGCGCCCAATCAGACCGCTTGTGAGGTCCCAACCAGCTGGGACGGGTCCGCTGGTAACTTAGCTTAATTGCTTGGAAAATGTGAGGTAGATAGATGAGTCTTCTCCTGACATGGAGACAATGGCCTTAGCGATCGAAGAGGATGTTGTCGGCCCCAGAACTATTCTTGAAGCGTCTCGTCGTCCTGGCAAAGAGCCAATTAGGATGGACGACGACATCGAGGAGAGAGCTGAAACTCCGTCATACCAGATAGAGAATGGTACAGATGGGAGGATTTTGGAGGATATGCCAAGTGTTGGCATACACCGAGCTCTTCAAGCTTGTTTAGCTCGGGGGACTTCACTGGGACATGCCATGTTCAATCGACTTGGGCATTCCCTGGAATGCTAAGAAGGGCTGGCGAAGGAGAAGTCGGGCAAAGAAGAGGCAGAGAAGAGAATCACTGTTTTGGAGGCCGAATTGACTCATAAAAAAGATGCTTGGCGTCGGAGTCTGGATGAGAAGGAAGAGCTCTTTAAGAGCTTTCGAATCCAATTCTCCAAGAATGTGGGGACTATCGAGAACCTTCAAAGGGAGATGGTTCATCTACAGGCGGAGGTCGAGTCCGAGAAGCGTCATAGGATAACGGCTGAGGCAGAGGCTCGAACAAGTCGTCTGTCTCTCGAAAAGACGAGGAGGGACTTTGAAGAGCTGCAATCAAAGCTTCAAGCGTCCATGGCCCTTGTTGATAAATTGGAGGATCAACTCGCTCATCTGGATTT